TAATTTATGTGAAATTATATTTACTGCTTTTTTCTGTTGATGTGTTGAATTACATTTCAGATTTCCTTTTTTTTTTTTTTAAAGATTTTATTTATTTATTTGAGAGAGAGAGAGAATGAGAGACAGAGAGCATGAGAGGGAGGAGGGTCAGAGGGAGAAGCAGACTCCCCGCTGAGCAGGGAGCCCGATGCGGGACTCGATCCCGGGACTCCAGGATCATGACCTGAGCCGAAGGCAGTCGCTTAACCGACTGAGCCACCCAGGCGCCCTTTTTTTTAAGTTTTATTTATTTATGAGGGAGAGGGAGAGAGGGGGAGAGAGAATGCACAAGTGGGAGGGGCAGAGGGGGAGAGAGAGAGAGAGAAAATCCCAAGCAGACTCTGTGCTGAGCTCAGAGCCCGATGCGGGGCTTGACCCCATGACCCTGAGATCACCACCCAAACCAAAACCAAGACTCCGTCGCTCAACTGACTGCACTACCCAGACACTCCCATTTCAGATTTTCTAACATTAAACCATTCTTGCATTTCTCCCATAATCTAATGTGATTATTGGATATTATCATTTTCATATCATTTGGTTCAGTTTGCTATTTTTAAGGAATTTTACATCTATGTTCGTAAGAGAGCTGGGCCTGTAACCTTCCTTTCTCACACTGTCCTTGACTGGTTTTATAGTAAGTTTGCACTGACCTCATAGAAAGTGCTGAATAGCAGCCCCTATTTATCAAATCTGTGGAAAGTTTTGTGTAAGTTACTTGAATCCTTAATTTCTTTTTTTTCCTTCTTGCACAAATATGCTCACTTGCACCTTGTTTTCACTTAACAATATATCCTGCAAATTACCCTAAGGCAGTTCATAATAATTTCCCCCTTTTTTAGAACTGCAGTCTATACCACTATGTGCACACAAATTTAGTCATTCAGTCAATCTCCTTTAGAGGGGCATTTATGTATTTTCCAAGATTTTGCTTTTACAAATATGCTTCAGTGAACAGCCATGTGCATATTTTCTGTATTGTTGGAGGTATAACATCCAGGTAAATTTCTGCAGGTGTAATTGTTGCTTAAAAGGGTAGATTGATACATAGTTTTCTTGGATATCACTAAATTCTACTCCATAAAATTTATACTATTTTGTACTGCCACCAACCATGTGAGCATGGGTGTTTCTCACAACGGAATGTATGGTTGTGTTTTTTAATTTTTGCCAAACTAAGTGAGAAATGTTATCTCTGCAGTTGCTGATGTTCATTCATGTTGTAGTATATTCCAGTACTTCATTGCTTTTTATATCTCAATAATAATCCATTGCATGTATATACCACAATTTGCTTATGCATTCATCTGTTGATGGACATTTGGGTTGTTTCCACCCTTTGGTGATTGCAAAGAGTGCAGTGTGAACGTTTGTGTACAAGTATTTTTTTAGTACCTATTTTCAATCCTTTTGGGTATATATCTAGCAGTGGAATTGATGGCTCATATGTTTAACTTTTGAGGAAATTTCAACTGCTCCCATGGTTGTTGGGCTATTCAACATTTTTTTTTTTATTACTAGTGCATAAGAGTTCCAATTTCTCCACTTCCTTGCCAACTCTTACTATTTTCATTTTTTTGAATTATAGCCCTCCATGTGATTGTGAAGTAGTATCTAATTGTGGTTTTGATTTGCATTTCCCTAATGATGTTGAGAATCTTTTCATATGCTTGCTGTATCTTCATTGGAGAAGTGTCTATTCAAGTCCTTTGAAATTTTATAACTGGGCTGTTTATCTTTCTTGAATTGTAAGAGTTCTTTTTATATATTGGCTATGAGACCTTTATCAAACATATAATTTTCAAGTATTTTTCCCACTTTATGTGTTGTTTTTTTCACTTTTTGATAGAGTCTTTTGATGCACAAATGTTATTAGCTTTGATGAAGTCCAATTTATCTATTTTGTTGATGTTATTGCCATGCTTTTGATGCCATTTCTAATGATCCATTGCCTAATCCAAGGTCATGATGATTTACTTCTACACTTTCATCTTGGAATTTTATAGCTCTCATATTTAAATCATTGACCAACCTTGAATTAATTTTTGTATATGATGTGAGATAGGGATTCAATTTTATTATTTTCCATGTGAATATCAAGAGTCCCCATACCATTTGTTGATGTGACTATTCTTAGTTTTGATACCCTGTTAAAAATCATTGGCCATAGATGTGTGGGTTTATTTCTGGACTCTGAATTATATTTACCAATCTATATGTCTGTCCTTATGCCAGTACCACACTATTTTGATAATTGTAGCTTTGTAGTAAGTTTTGAAATTGAGAAATGTGAGTCCTCCAATTTGTAGTACTTTATTAATACTGTTTTGTGTGCATAGCATACCCGTCGAAATTCCATATGAATTTGAGGGTTGGCTTCTTCATGTCTGAAAGGAAAAAAAGCCATTGAAATTTTATTTGGGATTACATTGTGTTGTCATTTTAATGTCCTAGATCTTCCAATCCACAAATATGGACTTTTAATTTATTTAGGTCTTCCTTAATGTCTTCTATTTTGTATTTTTTGGTGCACAAGTTTTTCACCTTCATGGTTAAACTTATTCCTAGGTATTTTATCCTTTTATATCTTATTGGAAGTTGAATTGTTTTCTTAATTTTGTTTCTGGATTGCTAATTGCTGGTATATAGAAACACAGTTGATATTTGTGTCTTATTTTTGTACTTTGCAACTTTGCTGAATTTATTAGTTCTACTAATTTTTTGTGTGTGGATTCTTCCCCAATTTCTCTATGTAGGATCATGTCATTTGCAAATAGACAGAGTTTTATTTCTTCCTTTCCAACTTAGATGGCTTTTTTTCTTGCTTAATTGCTTTGGCTAAAACTTCCAGTACAATATTGACTAGCAGTAATCAAAGCTGAATTTTCATCTTATTCCTGATCTGGAGAGGAAAGCTTTCACTCTTTCACCATTGAATATGATGATAGTTGTGTGTTTTTCATAGATACCTTTAATCATGGTATCTATGGGGAAGTTCCTTCTATTCCTAGTTTTATGAATGTGGTGCGTTTTGTAAAATGCCTTTTCTGTTTCAGTTGAGATGATCATGTGATTTTTACCCCTTCATTTTTTTTTTTTTTTTTTTTGACAGGGAGAGAGACAGCGAAAGAGGGAACACAAGCAGGAGGAGTGGGAGAGGGAGAAGCAGGCTCCCCACTGAGCCGGGAGCCTGATGTGGGGCTCGATCCCAGGACCCTGGGATCATGCCCTTTCATTCTATTAGTGAGTTTTATTACATATCACTGCAACTATAAGTACAAGTATTGCAGATTTTTTTTATTATTATGTTATGTTAATCACCATACATTACATCATTAGTTTTTGATGTAGTGTTCCATGATTCATTATTTGCATATAACACCCAGTGCTCCATGCAGAACGTGCCCTCTTTAATACCCATCACCAGGCTAACCCATCCTCCCACCCCCCTCCCCTCTAGAACCCTCAGTTTGTTTTTCAGAGTCCATCGTATTGCAGATTTTAAAAATAAACTATACCTGTGTACTGAAGGAGACTGTATTAGGAGTTTAGAACATCAGAATAGGGTTCAGCTCTTCACTACCTTCTTCTTCCCAGGTTCAATGACTATTGGGAGTCAAGTATCCTCAGGTTTCCCCTTTTTCTCTTCTTAGGGGAAAGTCAACTTTGCTTCTGAGAGCCTACAATATCTCTCCACAATATTTATGTTCAATGACCACCTCTTCCTGGAGAACCTGCCCTGAGCTCTTGGCTGATGGATTTCCTCTTCTGTCTGAGCTCTAAGATACTTACAGTGTGCCCCTATTCTTCCCATGTCCTCCTCTAGTCTCTCTCTAGATAGCATATTATATTATATTAATAAATCTGGAAAATACATGTTAGTATATATATTTTCCAGCTTTATTAAGATATACTTGATATATTTCAGATTTTTTTCAAGCTGGGAAAGTACATGTGTGTAATATATATAATTATATATAAATTATGTAATATATTGTTTTCTATATCTTATTAAGATATAACTGACATAAGGTGTACAATGTGTTGGTTTGAAATGCTTACATATTGTAAAATGATCTAACATCTCCGTCACATCACATAATTATCATTTCTTATTTGTGGTGAGAACACATAAGATTTACTCTCTTAGCAACTTTTTTTTTTTTTTAAGATTTACTTATTTGAGAGAGAAAGAGTGAGCAAGAGAGAGAGAGAGAAGGAGCGGGGCGGGGGCAGAGGGAGAGGGAGAAGCAGACTCCCCAGTGAGTGGGGACCCCAACATGGGGCTTGATCCCGGAACTCCAGAATCATGACCTGACCCAAAGGCAGACGCTTAACCAACTGAGCCACCCAGGCGCCCTCTCTTAGCAACTTTCAAGTAGGTTGAATGTAAGTGTTGTTACTGATAAATATTATGCTGTATGTTAGATAGCCAGAATCGGTTCATCTTACAATTGGAAGTTTATACCCTTTGCCAACATTTCCCCATTCCCCAATCTCCAGCCAGTGGTAACCATCATTCTACTCCCTGTTTCTAACAGTTTAGCATTTTTAATTTCCATAAGGAGGTGATATCATACAATATTTGTTCTTTTCTGTCTGACATTTTACTTATCACAATGCCTCAAGTTTTATCCAAGTTGTCAAAAATGGCAGGATTTCCTTCCTTCTTAGAGCTGAAAAACATATATATATATAACACTGTATCTTCTTCATCCATATTCATCCATTGATGAGCTGAGGTTGTTTATATATCTTCCTACAAAAATAATGTTTTCTTCTTTGCTGTAAATTATTTTGTAATTAGAATATAGAAATATATCTTTCAGGGAAAAATTCTGTTTGCAAAGGAGAGGGTTAGTCATGTGAGAGCAGGAATCCTCTACAGAAGCCCAAGTCCCACAGAGAACAGGCTGTGGTAAGGGCAGGCAAAGGGGCGGAAACAGGGCTCCTTGTTTGGCCAGTGGAAGCAGGGAGGAGCCCAGGATAACCACCCAGCTCTCCAGGGAAGTCTGTGCCAGACTGAGCGCTCTCCACTCTGCCCAGAGTCATGCCAACCCAGGCTCTGCTGCTCATCCTGCTCCTCTGTGTGCTGCTGCAGGCCCAGGGAGGGTATTGGAAACCGAAGATGATGCAGAGTAGGTAATGGACTAGGGGACAGGGAGGGGAAGGGGGCCAGGAAGGGCTGTGTCCTTTCTGAGGAGGACCTGGGAGTTGGAACCTTTCAGCACATCCTGCTCAGACCACAGCACTATGAAGACTCTGGGTCCTCCCAAACCATGACCCTCTGACCCCTTTACCCAGCCCTGGGAACAGTGATGGGGGTGGTGGGGGAATTTATGTCTTTTGATTCTCCATTCCAAATACCCAGACACAAACGGTACATAGAGTAGTGAAAGGTGCATCACGGGCTGAGAATCACATGGGGAAACCAAACAACTATTCTTAGATTTCTGCACACATGTGACACGTTACATCCAGAAATGTTCGTGGGTGTAGGTGTAGAATGAAAGGACCATGGGAAAGCAAGTTTTGGGGTGTACAGGGTCAAGTCAAAATTATCATTGGAGGGACCAGGATGGTGGCAGTGGAAGGGAAATAGTGCAAGTGGTATTTTCTGGGAAGAAGCAAGGGCCCTGGAGAAAGTGACCGTGACAGGAGAGGGGGGCAGAGTGGGAAGTCATCTTCCTCTCTGGACCCTGCAAATTCTGGAGAGTGGGGAGGATCTGCAGGATGTCTCAGTCTCTGCTGAGTTCTCAGAGTGTAGATTCTATGGTGGTGGGGGGGGGCTACTTCACCAAGGCCATGACTAACATGGGAGACAGGGTCCTGGCTGCAGAATATGCAGAGGGCCCAGGAAGGCCAGGCATTGAGATCTGTTGGGGGGAAATGGAGGGATATAAGATTTAAGATACTACCAATCACCAGGATTGAGTGAAGGGCAGAGAGTGAGTTCTCTGAAAGTCCAAGAGCATCATGAGTAGGACCTGGGTTCTGGAGTCTTTGAGGGAGGATTTGAAAGGAGAGCTCTCAAGGGATCTGGTTGCACTGACCCTGTTCCTGCTCCTTTTAGATCTAAAAGCCTGTGAGAAGAAGCCCAGCGTGGATCTTTGCAGCAGTCATTGTTCGTATTTTCTAGATTGTCCACGAGAAAATACCATATGCTGTTCAACCTACTGTGGGAATGTTTGCATGAGCCTCCAGTGAGTGGGTGAGGGGGCTGGGCTGTGCCTCCTGTTCCCCCAACCCTTTTTGCAGACCATATCAGGAGGATCTCAGATCCCGGGCACCAGGATGCCAACAGGAATGCACCCTCCCCCGTCTGAACTGCTTGTTCCTGTCAAATAAACCAGAACAAATGTCCACAGACCTGCTCATTTTAGTCCCAGTGCTTGTGATCATCGAAGACCCAGTGCAGACCCCAAAGTGGCCCCCTCTCTTGGTCCAGGTCTCTGATCTCTCTCCCCTTGTCATTCTTCTCTAGTCTCTCTCCCATTGGCCCCTGCACCCCTGCCAGGTCCCCAGGGCCCAGCCTCATTGTTGATCTGCTCACTGAACCAGTACTCCCAGGGAGAAACTGCTCATGTATGGTATCTCCAATGTTAACCAGAACATTCCTCAGCCTGGGGTCAGAAGGGCCAAGTTAAACATGAGGCAGATGGAGGCTAGAACCTGGCCACAGAGTAGGAGGTCCCCGGGGAGGCTTCTTCTTAAACTTGACCCACCCCCACCCCATTCTCCCCATTCTCCTTGTGAGGTTCAGATAACTGTCCTTTTACAATGAAGAAAACCAATCCGAGGGAAGTTAAGGCACATGCTCGAGGCAAAAGAGAGTGAGCAGTCATGATGTGGCTAGAGGAGGATGTTTGTCTGGACCTCCTGTTTGCTCACAGCTCCTCCATTATGGGGAGACCATGTGCATGGAAGTGAGTGTCCACACTAACATCTCCCACCCCATCCACCATCAATATGGCCACTCTTGGGATGGGGCCTGGAACGAGGTACCAGGACCTGAGACTCCAGGGCCTTCCCTCAACTGAATAGTCCCCGCCTTTCCCCAAGCCCCCTCCATAGGGTTTCATTCTCTCCCTTTTCTAATCCAGGGAGAAACCACATGGTGGGCAACAGGTGATTAAAGGTGATGCTACTAAGGATCAATTGGCTACTAAGGGTGGCTATGGGTGTTGCCCATGGTCTCAGGGAGAATCGGTGGACCTTAATCACTGAGGGACAGACTCCGGACCACTCTGTGCAAGCACAGCTGCTCTGAGGTGGTCCTGGGGCTAAATCCAGGGACTAGGTGCCCAGTGGGGACATGGAGTCAAGTGGGAAGAACCCCAGCAGGCAGGCAGGTGGGCCTTGCTGGAGGTAGGTGTGCAGTGTCACACTCCAGTCCAGTGTTTCCTGCTGGGCACTAGTGAAGGATTGTCCAGAGGAGGAAACTCGCCTCTCTCAGGCCAGAGCCTCTAGCCCACCTCAGAAGCATCCCAGGGCTCCTGGTATCAGAGGAGCTTCTCCACCTCTCCTCGGACCTGCCCTTGGACCAGGAGACCTTAGGAAAGAGATCATGATCAAGCAGCCCTTGGACCAGGAGACCTTAGGAAAGAGATTATGATCAACCAGTAGCACAGACATCATCAGACACAGGTGGGCGGTGAGAGCATGCTCTGCAGGAGCTCTGACTTGGTGCTTCCTCACATAGCTTGACTCTGCAAGCATCTTCCCAGTGTTTGGCCATGCTCCAAACACCCTGGGAGAGACTATTAAGAGACAAGGCAAGGTTACCTGCCAGGGCCCACATAGGGAGTGACCTTCCACTTCTACAACCAGTGCTCCCTACCATGTGGGTACACCATGCTGCTGGCTGACCTATTCCTTACCACTGGCATGAGCACCTCGGACCATGAATTCTACTGGAAGCAGCTGGTCTTCTCCGTTGTGATAACTGGTGTCCTGGCTGTGTTCCACAGAGCTCTCTGGACACTCACTCTACCCTGCCCCAGTGGACTCAGAGGCTACACCTAGAATGCTTTGACTGGAGGAGTGCTTGCCTGGCCAGCACTCCATGTTCTGTCCTATGGAACAGCTGTGTGCCCCTATGGTAGGTCGAGAGGAGGAATGGGGACCCCTGCAAGATATTGACTCTCATGGAGGCAGAGGAGGGAGCTAACGTAAATTATGCCATGACTTGGGTGTTCAAAAAGCCAAGTCCCAGCCTGCAGAGATTCGTTGATCAAGCTGGTCTGTCTATGACAAACACACGGCCTCACGGTTGTCGGGTTCCTGCAGTAATTGTTCTCCTCTCATGCTCCAACCATGCTCCTAGCTAATTCTCTCTTCCCAACCCCTCTTCTTGATCATCAGAAGTAGCTCTCTCACATGTAGAGACTCAGCACACAACTTCACTCTCTTATTCAGGATGAAGTCATCTCCTCGGCCCTGTGACATAATAGAGCTTGAAGAGACTTTGATCACTGAATATCCCACAGGACATCATGCTGCTCTTTCAGGTCATTTACCTTGTGCCAACTGGCCATGGGGAAATAGTAGGTATCCTAAGTGCTTTACCATGTGCGTGCCAGAGTGTAGGAGATACACCTGATGATATCTCAGACTTTCTATATTGGTGAATTTCCAGAGATCTAGTGGCCTGGGGCTGATGAGGACAGTCTTTTGAGACAGGAGACAAGTTTCTGCACCTTGTATTGCTTACCGTTTAGAAAGACAGGACGCATGGTGGGCCTCTTTGGATTTTGCGGATAATATTGGCCACTTTTGGGCATTCTCTTTTCATCTATTTCCTTGGGGAATGGAAGGCTGCTAGTTTTGAGTGAGACTCAGATTACAAAAAGATTCTGCAGTAAGCCCAGGATGTGTTGAAAGTTGCCTGCCAGCTGGGTCTTAGCACCTAGCATATGCATTTTATTAAATGTGTCTGTGGTAGATTAGGATGCTGATAGAACCATTGCATGTCCAAGTAGGAGAATCACAGAACAACACACTTGGATTATTGAGGTCAGGCCTTGTCCTCTTCTGTTGATGGGTGCTTTCCATTTGAGAAGCAGCTCTCTACTTGCTAGTGGACCCTGGTAAAAGACTGCATGCCTGACCATGGGACATTGAGTCACTCTACAACTGGAATTTTCCATCAGAAATTAGGAATTATCTGACCTATGAAGTCTTAAAATGGGATGTGCATAGAGTCAGTCCATCATCAAATGCAAATGGTATAAATGAGAATGGGTCCAATCAGACCATTTCTTCTGGAAATGAGTAACCTATGCAATGAAGTGTTTGGGCCCTAAAGACCCACTGATATCGCCTCTTGCCTCATTCTTGCTCGTTGCCACTAAGTCTCCAAAGGACCTTCCCTTTCCACACCACCATGCATTCCCTAAGAAGTGGTGTCTTCCCATGTCTGCCTGTTTGCATCCCTCCTACTTTCCAATCCCTTCCTTACACTTTTTCAGGAACCAGAGATCTCATCTACCAGGTGTCAGCCTTGCCCTGGGTATTCCTCCATTCATTTTCAGACTTTCATTTTGTGAGTGTGATTTTACCTGTGTTCTATGCTAAGCCTTCTGCTCGTATCTCCTCATTTCCATACAGTATCTGCAGTCTGTGTGTGTATGTCTCTGCTGTTAACCTTAAAAATAAAACCATCAACTATTTTACCAGCAAAAATGGGTTAATTTGAGAATAGCAGAGAATTGCAATTCAGGGCAAACTAGCTTTGGCAGAACCATAGGCAAGTCCAGAGATCAAAGGAGAGGAATGCTCCTTTATAGAGTAAAATGGGAATTAACTGGGAGTTCCAAGTAGAATGGGCTTTTTATTGCCTGAGTTGTGATAGTCTCTTATTGGCTGGGCTATTGCCAGGGGAGGAGGAAAACCTTTCTGTCTCTTGCTGTAACCACAAAGTACTAAGTAGCTAAGTAAGGTGTGATCCATTTGCAAGGAACATGTCCTGTTGGGTCTGCAATTGAGGACGATTAGTATGGTGTGAGAGCTCCCCCTGGTGGCCTCCCAACTCCATTTCAGTGAGGTTTTCCCTTATGAATTTTCACCCTGAATCTCTAGGGACTCCAACAGTACTAATCCGAATCTGCTGGATTTGAGTGTTTTATATCTTTGCTCACAGATTGCTTGAAATTTGTAGCATTTGCTATTTCCTCACTAGACTGCGGCTATGAGTTATGGATTGATTTATTTGCTTTCCTTGTTGATCTGTATGGTTTTTTTTTGTTTGTTTCTATTAGTTTCAGAGGTAGAATTTAGTGATACATCAGTTGCATATAACACCCAGTCTAATTACATCAAGTGCCATCTTTAATGCCCATCACCCAGTTACTCCATCCCCCACCCACTTCCCCTCCAGCAACCCTCACTTTGTTTCCTAGATTTCAATGTCTTATGGTTTGCCTCCCTCTCAATTTTCTTTTCTTTTCTTTTTTTTTTTAAGATTTTATTTATTTGAGAGAGAAAGCAAGAGAGAGAAGGAGAGAGAGGGAACAAGCGGGGTAGGGGCAGAAGGAGAGGGAGAGGTAGGCTCCCCACTGAGCAGGGACCCTGATGCAGGACTCGATCCCAGGATGCTGGGATCATGACCTGAGCCAGAGGCAGATGCTTAACCAACTGAGCCACCCAGGCGCCCTCAATTTTCATCTTATTTTATTTTTCCTTCCCTTCCCCTCTGTTCATCTGTCTTGTTTCTTAAAATCCACATATGAGCGAAATCCTATCCTTTATCTTCCTCTGACTGATTTATCACTTAGCATAATACCCTCTAATTCTATCCAGGTCATTGCAAATGGCAAGATTTCATTCTTTTTGATGGTTGAGTAATATTCCACTGTAAATACATACCACATCTTGTTTATCCATTCATCTGTTGATGGACATCTTGGGCTCTTTCTATATTTTGGCTATTGTGGACATTGCTGCTATAAATATTGAGGTGCATGCGCCCCTTCGAATCACTATGTTTGTATCCTTTGGATAAATACCTACTAGTGCGATTGCTGGGTCCTAAGAAAGTTCTACTTCTAACTTTTCGAGGAACCTCCATACTGTTTTCCAGAGTGGCTGCACCAGTTTGCATTCCCACCAATAGTATAAGAGGGTTCCCCTTTCTCCACATCCTAGCCAACATCTGTTGTTTCTTGAGTTGTTAATTTTAGCCATTCTGACTGGTATGAGGTGGTATCTCACTGTGGTTTTGATTTGTATTTCCCTGATGCCGAGTGATGTTGAGCATTTTTCATGTGTCTGTTGGCCATTTGTGTCTTCTTTGGAGAAATGCCTGTTCATGTCTTCTGCCCATTTCTTGAGTAGATTTTTTATTTGTTGGGTGTTGAGTGAGATAAGTTCTTTATAGATTTTGAATACTAGCCCTTTATCTGATATGTCATTTGCAGATATCTTCTCCCATTCCGTAGGTTGCCTTTTAGTTCTGTTGACTCTCTCCTTTGCTATGCAAAAGATTTTTTATCTTGATGAAGACCCAATAGTTCATTTTTGCTTTTGTTTCTCTTGGAGACATGTTTAGCAAGAAGTTGCTGTGGCCGAGGTCAAAGAGGTTGCTGCCTATGTTGTCCTCTAGAATTTTGATAGATTCCTGTCTCACATTTAGGTATTTCATCCATTTTGAGTCTATTTTTGTGTATGGTGTCAGGAAATGGTCCAGTTTCATTCTTCTGCATGTGGCTGTCCAATTCCCTCAACACCATTTGTTGAAGAGGCTGTATTTTTTCCATTGGATATTCTTTCCTGCTTTGTCAAAGATTAGTTGACCATAGAGTTGAGGGTTCATTTCTGGGTTCTCTATTCTGTTTTGTTGATCTATGTGTCTGTTTTTGTGCCAGTACCATACTGTCTTGATGATTACAGCTTTGTAATACAGCTTGAAGTCTGGAATCGTGATGCTTCCAGCTCTGGTTTTCTTTTTCAACATTAATTTGGCTATTTGGGGTCTTTCTGGTTCCATGCAAATTTTAGGATTGTTTGTTCCAGCTCTATGAAAAATGCTTATGGTACTGCCATACTGTTTTCTACAGAAGCTGCACCATTGTACATTCATTCCCATCAACACTGTACAAGGTCCCACATCTCCACATCCTTGTTAATACTTGTTTTTTTGTTTTGATAGTAGCCATCCTAATGGGTGTGAGATGGTATCTCATTGAAGTTTTGATTTGCATTTCCATAATGATTAGTAATGTGGAGCATATTTTCATGTGCTTGTTGGCCTTTTGCACATCTTCTCTGGAGAAATGTCTATTCCAGTCTTTGACTATTTTTAAATCTAGTTGTTTGTTTTTTTGATGTTGAGTTTTAGGAGCTGTGTCTATATTCTGGATATTAATTCTTTATCAGATGTATGGTTTACAAATATCTTCTCCCATTCCATGGGTAGTCTTTTTACTCTGTTGATAGTGTCTTTTGATGCACAAAATTTAAAAATTTTCCATTTGTTTATTTTTTCTTTTACCTGTGTCTCTCTTGCTGTATCCAAGAAATCACTGCTAAATCCAATGACACTAAGATTTTCCCTGGGTTTTCCTGTAAGAGTTTTGTAGTTTTAGGTCTTACATTTATGTCTTTGATCCATTCTGATTTGATTTTTGTATATGGTGTTAGGTGAAGGTCCAATGTCATTCACTTGCAGCTGAATATGTAGTTTTCCTAGCACCATGTGTTGAAAACACTGTCCTTTCCCCATTGACTGGTCTTGGCAGATTTGTCAAAAAATCCTTGACTCTACATTCAAAGGTTTATTTCTGGGCTCTTCATTCTATTCCATTGGTTTATATGTCTGTCTTTACTCCAGTATCACACTGTTTTAATCACTGAAGCTCTGTATTAAGCTTTGAAATCAAGAACTGTAAGCCCTCCAGCTTTATTCTTCTTTTTCAAGATTATTTTGGCTATTTGGAGTCCCTTTGGGATACCATACATATTTTAGTATGGGTTTTTCGATTTATGCAAAAACATCATTGGGATTTTAAAAGGGATTGCATTGAATCTGCAGATCACTTTAAGTAGTATTGACATCTTAATATTAATTCCTCCCATCTAAAAACATTGGATGTATTTCCATTTATTTATGTCTTCAATTTCTTTCAGCAATGTTTTGTAGTTTTCATTTTACAAGTCTTTCATCTCCTTGGTTAAGTTAATTCCTGAATGTTTTATTCTTTTTGATGATATCATAAATGGAAATTTTTTTCATAATCTCCTTTTCAGGTTGTTCGTTGTTAGTATATAGAAATGCACCTGATTTTTGTGTGTTGACTTTGTATCCTGCTACTTTTCTGAATTCATTTATTAGCTCTAACAGATTTTTCTTTGTGTGAAATCTTTAGGATTCTCTATATATAAGATCCTATAATATGCATACAGAGCTAGGTTGACTTCTTTTTCAGTTTGGATGACTTTT